CCAAACCTTGAAGCCCCACCATTCCTGAGCTTACCTGTGGTATGAGCTAGCAAATGCTCTCCTTTTCATAAGCCAGATTGAACTGACCTTCTGTCCCTGAATCAACAGAGGAGGGAAAGTGGAGGACTAGAAGTTCCAGTCTTCTGAATTAACAGCCAAACACATGGAACATACTCTTCAGCTGAGGACACAGAAATCAAAACTATTTTTCAGCTCCCGGAACACAATTTGCCAATTGGTTGATCAGAATCTGAAGAGCTTTAGTGGGTCTGCTGTGGTTCAAGTTCTCATTCTGATGAGAAATCTGGACTCAAGAGCCAAAGGCTGTCACTGGAAGAGATGCAGAGAGCTCCTATCCCCACTGAGGACAGGACGCTGAGAAGAGCCCAGGCTGGGTCGGCTTGGACGGGGGAGCAGGGGACACAGACACCAGACTCCAGAGGAGGAAGCAACGGCGGAGACCCGCAAGAGGCCTGGGCAGGACGGCAGCACTGCGGCCGGCTTCAGAGGCAGGCAGACCTGGCTCAGGTCCTGAGACTTCCCAACAAGCGAGCCTCAAGTTGCCCCTTGTGTCCTCGACACCTGTCCATCAAGTGTGGGTTGTCAACTCCACTGTGGCCTCCAAGCAGGGCAAGGAAGTTCCCTGTCCTCAGGAAGGCCACGTTTCTGGTGGGGTAAGCCGGCATCCATAACCACAGGCTCCGAGTCCACGGATTCAGCCAACCAACCGCTGGGGGAACTGTGGACAGACCCTTCCTTCGCAAGTCCCCGACACGCCAGCCAGCTGCACACGCGGTCATGTCCTGTGGTCTGAGGGGTCGTCTAGAGAGCCTTGAAGGCACCAGGAGGTCGCTGCCGGCTCTGCAAACACCGCTCCATTGGAGATGAGGGGCCTATGCACCCAGGGCTTCTGGTCCCTGGGTCTTGGAGCCACCCTCCTGCAGGTGACAGGGACAGTTGTGATGTGCTCCACCTGCCACCTCATCCTGTGGGAGGGTGGTCTGTTCTGTCTGCCACGCTGGGTCCTCGGCACGTGGCCCCCCTGAACAAAACCTGAAAACGCAGCACTGGGAGGTCCTGTGGGGTGGGCAGAGACAGGGCGTGGCCCAGTGACCTGGCGGAAGCAGGCGTGGCCCAGGGTCGTGGGCTCAGATTACCACCCAGGGTGGCCTCCTTCCAGGAGAGGCTGCTTAAGAGACCTGGATGAGGGATGGGCCATTCAAGAAACTGGAGGAAGCGCATGCCAGGGTCCTGAGGCAGCACCGAAGGATACGAGGAAAGTTCATGCGGCTGGAGAGGAAGGGGCAGAGGGAAGCACGATTTGGACTGCAATCAAAGCCCGGCATCGGGGAGATCCCTGCAGACCAGGGCATGGGCCTCATTCTTGGTCCTGAGGACAGTGGCAGCCATGAGCACAGTAGGCAGGGTGTTGACATGACCTTTCGGGGGGCTGCTCTGCCCACTGGGTGGCAGATGACTTCAGGACGGACAATTGTATATGGTGCAGCCAGCATCTGGCACATAATAGGTGCTCAATGAAGAAGGCGCCCTCATTTCCCTGAGGCTGCATCCACAGAAGGCTACCCAGGTGACTACTGGTCAGGGCCCAGTCCTGCTGTCACCTTGCAGTCCAAGCCCTCTCTAGCTCCCTGTTCCTCAGGGTGGCTCGGCGACGGGGCTCCTCTGGGCCGGGGTGCCAACCCTGGAGACCCCGCGGCCCGCCGGGCTGTGGGCGCCTTCTGCTGGGCGGGCTGCTCCCGGCCCCCTTTCCAACGCTGGTCTGCGGTGCCCAGCTGCCTGCAGAGGAGACGCGCTCCCGGATGTGTTTTGAAAAATATTCCATATGCTAATGGAATGTCACCATCTGCCAAAGAAGGCAGGGCTGTTTTTAAAGGAAAAACTATTAAGAAGTGAGGTGTTCACGAGGGGCACTGGGAGCCCCGCGCCCTGACCCGGGGCTGACCAGCCGCTCGCTCCCCGCGAGGACGCAGTCTGTGGCCAGTCGCCCCGCCCGCCGCCCCTCCTGGGAGACATGATGACATTTCCTGAAACCCAGCTCGCAGCCCGTCTGTAAAGTGCTTTCGGCTTTGGTGGAAAAGTCCCGATGGTCCTTTTATCTCCTCATTCCTGAGGCGCAGACTGGCCGGCTGTTTGCGCAGATGGGCAGCGGGGAAGGTTCCCAGCTCCGGGTGCCGGCTGTCCTTGCCGCCAGCGCCCTGGTTCACCGGGGAACCGGTGCTGGGCTGGGCGTGGTGCGCGGTCAGGTGCCCTGCTGAGCCGGGACCAGGCCTGGTCCCCAGGAGGCCCCGGGCTTGGGGACGAGGATTTGCAAGAGGGTTTTTCAGGTTCTGGGAGGGTCCAAGGGCTACCGTGCCCTGCCTTCCCAGTCACTCCTCCCCTGGCTTTGTCACAGCGGGTCCCCAGGGCCCTATGTGCTCAAGTGGGTGTTCCTCAGGACTCTGCCTTTGGAGGCCACTGCCTGCCCCTTCCTAGTAACCCGAGTCTGTGCCTCTCTGGGCACCTTCATGGTCCAAATCCAAATGTAGCAGCAGCCCACCCTTCAAATCGACCCCTTCCTTCTCGTATCTGGGAGACGGAGCCTACCAGCCAGCTGCCCACTCAGGGCTTCCCACCTCCGGGCCTTTGCACCTCTGTCCCCTTACCTGGACATCTTGTCCTGCCTCACTCTGTGGCTGGCTCCTGTTACCATGGGGGTCTTGGCTCCAACCACTGCCCAGGGTCGAGTCTCCACGGCTCCTCTCTCCATCTGAACTCAACCTGCTCATTCCTGTGTTGGGCCCCTGCGGCTGCAACCCCTGCTGAGCTTACACTGGAGGGAAGCTCCCCGAGGGCAGGGAGTTTCCCTACAACCCCCTCTAGTGGCACAGAAGAGATGCACACTAAATATGCGCCACCTGTCAGCACCCCTCCACACTAGCCTCCCTCCCCTGCTCTGTGTTCTGCCTCTTCCAGGCCCGACTTCTCGCTGGCCTCTCGCCCACAGCCCCCCTCGGGCGGCCACGCCTGGCCCCATCTGTCCAGTTCCTCGCACTCCACCACGACATGGGTGCTGCGAAGGCTTGCCAAACAGCGATGATCCAAGAGCAGAGGGCAGGGGCACACCTGGGCAGGGGACAGCACAGGCCGGTCTGGCTCCTTGGGGGACTCTGTTGGCATCACAGAGCCCAGGGAGCACAGAGAGGGAGACAGCAGGGTGGCCTGCAGGGAGGCCAGCTGTGGTCACCGAGACCAAATAGGCCTGGGCCTCAGTGTCTTCCGCCATGAAGCCCAACAACACGGTGGGCAGATTTTGGGGGCTTGGAGATGCAGAAAGGCCCCCAGCAGGCTTGGCACTCCCGGGTGGCCTGGCTCTTGCTGTCACTGGTTGGTAGTAAATACTCTCTTCCTTGGTCACTGCCACTCCCTCTGCCTGCACATGCCCTGGGCCTCCACCTCCACCCTGTCCACTGGAGGCCCTGTGATTTGCAGAAGAGAGGAACGTGCTCAGGTGGCCTCCTCTTCCCAGAGACACCCTGGGGAGATGACAGGTGGGCCGCCTTTGAGGGCAATCATCCCTAACAAAACTAACCAGAGAACTCCCGCGTGTGCACACTCTCCTGTGCACCCGGTCCACCCACCTCCCCTCACCCTTGGTTACAAACTCGGTCCTCGATGGGGGCAGAGGGCGCCTTCCCATGGCCTTAGGCTCGCTGAGCAGATGATGCCACCCCACGCCACACCACCCCGAACTCCATCACGCCCCACCTCCTGAGCATCAGTCCTGTGTAGATGGCCCCAATAGAGCCGGCGGGCGCCCCTACACTATCTTGAGGTGAGGTCAATTCCAGGTTATGTCATTTAATCCTTACGGTCACCTTAAAATACCGTCTCTACCTTCTATCCAAGTACTGAACTCCTGTGCCCATGGGGCCTGCTGCCAGTCGGCTGAGGAGCCCGGGCCTCAGTAAGCGCGCTCCTCCCTGTCTGCCAGCTGATCCACAAACAGTCCTTGCAAAGTGTCTCCATCCGGGTCCTTGGAGCCCTCGCGGCTGTCGGGGACTGGGCAGTACAAGGGTCGCCTGGAAGAGCAGAAGCGTCTGGGGCCCGAAGATGGAGGTGAAGGGTGGATGGCGCCCAGGCTGAACTCACCGAGACCTCAGCAAAACCAACTCAAGCTGTCGCTCCGGCCTGTCCCCCCACTCAGCCGTGGGCCTCGTGACTACTGGGTCTCCCAGCCCAGCCAGGCCCAGCCCCACTGTAACTAGAATACTCTGAGCAATGAAACCAAACAACTCCAGGGCAAGAGGTGGTCACAAAGGTGGAAGCAATGGGCGAATGGGGATCCTCTTGGAGGGTTTTCTACTCTCCAGGCTGCCAGGCCCACACGAGACAACTTATGATGTGCCCGACTGTCCTCTCGCAGGGCCATACCCAACAGACACATTCCTAAAGCACTGAACTCAGTCTCAGGGGCCTGCCATCCTGGGCAGAGAAGCACCTTCCCGTGGCCACATTCCCGGCCACTCCACATCCGAGTGCCTACGGGCAGTGGCCAAGCTCAGGCCATGACCAGCCAGGGTCCAGAGGCCTTCAGACAAGCTCCTGGTCCCCTGGAAGCTGCAGATCCTGGCCTCCTCCTGCCTTGCTTTGCGGGAAAGCAAGTCCGCCTGCCGCTGAGCGCGGGACGGAGGGCAACGGCTGCCAGCTCTCTCCCCTTCTTCCTGCCTCTTCACACACACACACACACTTTTAGAGTTATGACTCAAAAGCGAATGCGTACCGGGTGACACCTGTGTGCTAGTCACTCCTTACTGGTCATTTAATCTGCCCCTTTCCTCTGGGACACCCTCAGTCCTTTGAACTTGGGACACAACGCCTTACTCAGTTACTAATTTTATTTAATAAAAATGCTTCAAGTCACACCAGCTCAGCGATGGTGAACAGATACCAGGGAGGCTTTTTAAAGAAGATTTTGCCAACTGTGACCGGTTGGGTGTGACAGAATCTAGATTCCCAGAGCCAAGGCATATCCCTCCAGGACTTGGGTAGTCCACAGAGAAGCAAAGGTCCAAAGCGGGCACTGCCAGGCTGCTAATCAGGAAGGGACTGGCAGACAGATGGCGCAGCCTCTGCTCTCCCTGTTCAACAGAGAAAACAAACAGCTGAAGCCGCCACAGCTCTGGTGAGAGGCCAGGCAAGGGTGGACGGAGACCTCTCGGACGCTCCTCCGGGATGGGAGCAGGAGCTGCAGATTTCTTGCTAACACTTCACCTTTTAAGAAGGAAGACACTGTGTTTACTGAGCACCAGCTGTGGGAGGAGGGGAGGGAAGCACCCGGGAGGGCTGTGGCCCAGCACCCAGCTCCTGGTCTCCCCGCTCTGTGGCCATGTTTGGGACCAACTCTGCTGTCATCCCAAATCACCAATAACAGTCTCTTTAATGCGGCCAGGTATGAGGGACAGCCCTGTGAAAAAGGACAATCACCACCTGGAAAAGGTAAGAACAGAATCCCACCTTCACCTGGAGCCAGCTGAACTACGGTTTGTCCTTATAACCCAACACTGTGTGGGTTATAAGGAGTGAGGTGGAGTCACCTGGACTGACACGGAGTAGCCCTCAGGACAGATGAGGGCTGTAGCACCCTCCTGCCGGCATGCCACCACAGAAAGAGCAGGCCAGGGCCGGGGCAGATCTCTGGGGTAGCTTATCAAGCGCCAGGCCCTGGGCTGGAGCCCTAGCCCCAGGAGGAAAACACAAAAGGGCGTGTGCGGGGACGACCTTGTGCAGACAGGGTGACTAGGAACATGCAGGAAGCTGGCTGGGAAACTGGAGGTCGGGAGAGGGACAAGGGACTCTTTTATGCTTTGCAAAATGGCTTTCTTCAGCACAGGCAATATTACATATTTTTAAAACATTTTTTTAACAAGAAAAATGGGTGAGGACAATGGCCTCAAAATAACTCTAATTTCATCCAAAAAGTCTACATCACCCATTTGGTTGACTGGTGGGGAAAACCCAGCCACCCAGTGAACACAGCTGCTCCGAGGGACTTGGGCACAGAACCTGGAGACTCACTGTCCTCCCGGCTCTCAACCAGCAAGGGCCATGCAGGGCCACTGTGTTTCTCCTGCCTGCAGCTCCGCCTCTCTCGCCTCCTCCGCCCCTTGCTTCAGCCCAGGGGGGGCCACTCACCCAGGAGCCACCTGGAACTCACCAGAGGCCACTCTCCTATTTTCCCAGGAACTGGTGCTGGTCACTCTGTGCTGGTCATTTAATCTGGAACGTGTGAAGGGAAGCAGGGCCGCTGGGCAAGACCTCTCCCAGGCAGCCGCCAACCTCGGAGGTCAAGTGGGCGCTCTCGGAGGAGCTTCAAGTCACGGAATTACACGTCTTTTGCCAAGTTCTCACAGGTCAGAAGCTCTGAGCCTTCAACTTCACTTTACACAGTTGATAATTTTTAAAGTCTATGAACTTTAATCACATGTCATTGAATCCTGATAGCACGTAACAGGTTTTCCGAAAAATTTCTTAACAGAACATCAGAGTATTGCAACACTTTATTAGAGTATTGGCTTTCAATTAGTAGCTGAAGTAACAATCGCATGAAGCCAGATTAGGTGGACTGCAGAATACTCATACTCGATTTATTGACATTTACTTAGCAATTTATTGGACAGAGGTCAAACTCTTTGTTTTTTATTAAGCACATTCCACAGTACAAAGCTGTCATGAATAATATCTGTACAATTTGTTTCAATAGCTGTTCAGACACAAATTTATTTCCAACAGATAATTGGCAAACATAATTAATTACAAGTTAGAATTAGACTATCCCAGTGCTTTAAAACATTAATATAGCAGTAATTTACAGTTGCTCAATTATGTTAGCAAAATAAAGTCCAGAGTACAGCTGGGGTTACTGCAGTAACCCCAGAGCCAGGACTCCTTGGGTGCCAAAGTCCCCTGCTATAATTTAGTAGGCACAGTTCAAAGGTTGTGTGCATATTCAAAGGCCATGATTTCCCAAGGAATGAGAGGAACTTCTATATTAAACATGCAAAAACAAAAACAAAAAAATATCCATTCATTCAGAAAATGTGCCTCCCCCTCCCGGGCTTCCCCAGCCAGTCAGACCACACGGCTGGGAGGCGAGAGGGGCCCAGGGTAAACCTGCCCTCACTGCCAAGCTCACGGCACCCACCTCATGAAGGGAGGGTTCTTTTTCACACTTTAAGACTCAACTTCTCAAAAACAAATTAATTTAGTAAAATGTGGGAAGGATATATTAAAAATATAAAAAAGGAAAAAGCGAAACTTAAAAGCAAATCCAACCCGATAAGTGAATCACAGACACATTGATCCCACACCGTTCTCCACGCAAGGCCAGAGCCCAGGGCCCTCCCTCGGGAGGAGGGTGTGCTTCCCGGGAAGAGGCTGCACTCCCAGAAGTGGCTTATTGGTCCTTTCAAGTGGTATGGACATTCCTTGATCTTTGGAAATAAATGGCAAGGGGCAAATCAAGACCTACTATCGAGGAGGGAAGAGGGTACCGGGATGCCAGTGTCCACTCCCTGTGCTCAGAGTGACAGTGCCGTTCTCTCAGTGGGCTCAGAGCCCTCACAGGCCTGAGGCTGCTTGTCGCTCTGGGGTGCCCTGCCCTCAAAGGGGGCCTCTGGACCAGCCTGCCTGCTCTGCAGGCTGCAGAGTGCCACAGGCCCTCGACACCCTGGCGGGGCCAGGTGGCATGAACTCTGGAGCCAGGAGACCCAGTCCACGGAGCATCTTGTTCTTTCCTTCTCAGGGTCGCTATTGCACAGAAGGACGGTGCTGACAGTGAAGCCAAATGAACACTATGGGACGTGACCACGAGGACTCAGGAGCACTCATAAGGAAAAGAACAACGATGACGACAAGTTGTAAGGTACCTCTCTATTGCATATACTGCACAACAAATAAAACATCTGTGTTCAACTTTAGAAGTTACATTTTAAAACAAGTTCCCATTAAAAACACACATCCCACACACACCAGGACAGTGACGGATGAGAACAGCGCATGAATACTGCAGGAAGGTCCAGGCACCCTCACAACCCTGGCCTTGGGCTTCCAAGCCAGCCGTACGCAGCGGGCACCCTGCTTAGTGTCCCAGTGCAGGGCCAGCTCCAGCGACCTCGAGGTGAAATTGTTATATACATCATATCTACATGCGGATACGGCATCTTAAATTAGGAGGCAAGCACATGGACGAAGGCGTCACTCTACCAGATATCAGGAGATGCTGGGGACAGAACAGTTAATCAAAGAAAAGAGCTATATTACCTGTGGCGAGATAATATAACTGGCTTAGCAGTTCTTTAAATTAAAAGAAACTGGTACAGAAAGGAAGTATAATCCAAAGCATATGACCAAAACAATCCAGAGAGATTTTTCCATTGTCCAACATTGTCCCTAATATAAGTCAGAATTCATGACTTGGCCAGTCACAAGGAGAACGCTAACTTCTGAAAAGGAAAGCCCTGGACCTTCTGGGTAGGTGTTTGGCACCCAAAACTTCACTGAAGAATGTTGTTTCTTAATATCAGACCAAAGTGCAAAGCATATAAATTAGAGCCAAGTCTTCTCTTGACGGTCGATTTACTTCTGGAAAACAGACTGCATGTTCCTCTTATATGAACAATTTACATTTGAAGCAGTAGGTTTTTTTCACTGTTGGGGGTAGGGAATGGGCTTCTGTTCTACTGGAAGTTGGTGAAGTGAAGGACTCCTTCTCAAAGCAGAGCCGGAACCGGAGGTGGGAAATGTCAGACTTGGAGAGTGAGGCTGCTTTGCATCTACCCAGCGTCTAGAACCACTTCCAGCCTCGTGCCACTGTGAACGAACTCCCTTAGGCATCTGGTAGCCATGTAGCCAGTAGTTCAAGACTAGGAAACCCTGGGGAATAAAAACAGGAGCGTGGATGTTTCTTCTGGTTAGACAAGGACGCACCCCAGCCCACCCCAGGCGCATGGGCGACACGCAGGGCTGCAGGCTGGGCAGGGAGCTGTAGGCCAGGTCTCGCGTGGACTTGACCTCACAGCCCAAAGAGGGATAAACTGTTAATACCTGCTTCCCACATAAAAGAATTACAGAGTCAGAGAAGAAGCCTTGTGCTACTGTATATAGAGCTATCAGGAGTCACTATTTGTCTTTAAATGATTTGACACATAAATCTATTGCTACATTTCCTAGCACAGAGATATTCTTACCTGATATTTTAGGGGTGAATAGTTTATTGCAAGGGTAAATCATCATTAGGCTAGTATTTTTCATTATTCATAAATCACATGGTCTTCATTTTTCATGTTCAATAAAAGAAAAGAATTTGGAAAAGAGGAATAAAATCTGTAGTGTTGACTGCCAAGGCTGTCAAAAGCAATTCCCTTTGAAGAGACAAACACATTTGGGGTTTCACTGGGATGTGGGGAGTAGTACCTACCTATAAGGCAGATGAGATTGAAAAGGCTCAAAACACAACTTACAATTGGGTACTGGAACAAGGCAATTGTTCTTAGGTCCCAAAAAAGAAAGTGGGAAACAGTCAGGAAGAAAAAAAGACCAGTCTCCTTTCCACCACAGCCAAAGAGAAGCAGCACCCCCACCCTGCCTCACCTCCCAACCAGAGGAACTCTGTTCCAGAGCCCTTGCAGTCATATGCAAAAGCTGTTGTTGGTGAAAATTTACTGTGTTCTATTACATACACCAGAAAGGAAAAATAAAAGGTATGGTATGGAAGTCTTGAATTTTCTCACATGCCTCTTTAATAAACTGAGGACAAGGACACAGAAACATACTCCTACGTTGTTCCATGAGACACCTGCTCCCTGAGTCTATTCCTCCCAGAAACCTGGCTACAGCTGGGACTGTCCATATTCTATTTTATATGTTTCTCTTATAACCTATGTTCTTATAGTCTTCTTTTCCCCCTCTGCTCCCTGGTTTGGGAATTGAACCCAGGGGCACCTTAATACTGAGCTACATTCCCAGCCTTTTTCATTTTCTATTTTGAGACAGAATCTCACTAAGCTGCCCAGGCTGGCCTTGAACTTGTGATTCTCTTCCTCAGCCTCCCAAATAGTTGGAGCTATAGTGTGCGCCACTGCCCCCAACCTGTTCCCCTATGTCCTACTTTATGCAGAAAAATGAACGCTGTGGCAGCATGCAGCTAGAGCAGTGCCCAGCAGGACATGCACAGTTTTAAGAGTTCCTTTTAGAAAAGAAAAAGAGTGGAATAAATCTAACAAAAGATGTAGAACACTTCAACATTAAAGGCTGCTTGAGAGGTGAAGACCTAAATAAGAGATCAACCATGTTTATGGATTGAAATACCACATTAATGCATTGGAAGACTCAATATTTGTTAAAATGGAAATTCTCTCCAAAATGATTCCTTTCAATAGAGTCTTAATCATAATCCCAACAACCATCTTCTTAGAATATGACTTAAAAAACAAACTAAAAAACCTAAAGGATCGAGGATAGTCAAAACACATTCACAAAAACGATGGATGATTTATTACAAAGACAGTATAGAATTGGCGAAAGGACAGTCACATGGATCATGAATTCAAATGTAGACAAAACACCTACATTTAAGTTGTTGATTTTTTTTTAAACAAAGGTGCTAATAAGGCAATTCAATGCAGAAAAGAAGATTTTTAAATAGTGACACAACTAAATTAGCTGTATAAAAAAGAACAGCATTCTTATACCACACACAAAAATTAAGTCTAAATGGATCAAAGACCTAAATGCAAAAGCTAAAAATGTAAAACTTCTACAACTACACTAGTTCAAAGACAGCAGTCACTAGCCATGTGTGGCTATTGAAATTTCAGTTTACATAAAATAAAATGAAATACAAATTAAAAATTCAGTTCCTATTGGGTGTGATGATGCACGCCTATAATCCCAGCTACTTGGAGACTGAGGTAGGAGGATAACAAATTCCAGGCCAGCCTGGTCAACAGTGAGACCCCCATTTACTTCCCGCAAAAAAGAAAAAAAAAATCAGTTCCTAAAGTTACTTTGGCCACATTTCAAGAGCTCAGTAGTCACATAGAGCTAATGACTCCTCCAGTCAACAGGAAAACTCTGGAAAATGAGTAACCTGACAGAAAACAGGTCAGTAGGTCAATGTCTGCCCAGACTGCAGGGGGTGGGCTGACTTTGGGGGTGACACAAATACTCTTATCTTGATCATGGAGGCAAGTACTGGGGTATATGCTCTGTAAAAACTTAAACAGTACATTTTAAATGGATACCATCTATTTTACACAATCACACCTCAATATTGTTGTTTAAAATTTTAAAACCACAGGCACAGCACAGGCGAGGGGGACAAAGCAAAGGAATACAAACACATCTAGGTGCCTGTCGAGGACTGTAGCTATCTAGTGTCTGTCTGTGCTAGCTCAGAAACTAATTTCCATGTTTGACTGAATTAAGATCTATATTTGTTGAGGGTGACTGCACAAACACACTATGGTTTCACATACATTTACTAATTTATCACCAAATTCTTGTGTGGCCCAGGAGGAAAAGCACACATATCATACTGGCCTTGGAAGCCACTTGTCCAACAAACACCAATGACAGTTAAGAACAGTGAACTAGGTACTGGCGCTCTGTGATAAGGAACTCCAGATCTTGTGAGGAAGATGGGCACACAAACCATTTCAATATCAAATAATAAATTAACCACAGGAAAGTCTACCCTTCCCTAATAACAAGAGCAAGGGGAGGAGGTGGTCATGTCTGACTGCTAAAGGGTGTTCAGGCAATGAAGCAGAATTCAGGTGGCTGAAGTCCTGGGTTTGGGGATGGAGTAATGAGAGAAAGGCGGGAGGGAGGAGGGCGGCTGGGGAGGAAAGAAGGTGACGGGTGGCCAGAGGTCACAACTCCTCTCAGCGCATCCAAGCAATTAAAGCTGGGTCCTGAAGGCGCAAGGAAGTCAGCAGAGCACAGCAGAGCAGGAGCGCAGAGGAGCTCACCGGAGGCAGGCGGAGGGCAGGCTGACGGGGGCGGGGAAGAGCAGGAAGGCGGCCAGGGTCATCTGGGCTACTCCTCTTTGCTGTTGTTTTCCTCGGGTTTCTTTGGGGGTGGGGGCTGGGTGGAAGCAATCATTCCAGAGACCCTGGCCACCCCCCCCCTGCTGCAATCCCCTGTGTCTGCTTGAAGAGTCTGTTCAATGAAGACAACCACTCTGCAATGTGTGCTTTCAACAGACTTGGGAAAGCAGCAATGGGCCAGAGAAAGTGGCAAGGGATGAGGTCACTATCACAGGGACAGTACCAACATACAGGAGGCCAGGAATGGCGAACGTTTGCCTATTGGCTTACAGGTCATTCCCAATTGTCTCCACACACGAGGAGGATTCTGGGGCCCCAAATGACTGAGGGTCATGACAGGTTGGTGTCCTTACAAAAGCAGCACCTGGCCACTCCCTACTAATCAAACTGATAAGGCATGAAGGAAAGGTGTCCTCGCCATCCCCGATGAGACCCTTGGCTCACCACCCTCAAACAGCACTGGTAAGGCCAGAGGAAGGCAAGTTTTCTTAAAGGGCCACATGGCAAATATTTTAGATGCCACCGGCCATAAGGTCTGTGTCACAAGTACTCAATTCTGCCACTGAAGCATGAAACCAGCCACAGGCAATATAGAAAGGAATAGGAATGGCCGTGTTTCAATAAAACTTAATTTATGAACAATGAAATTTGAATTTCATTATTTTTCACGTCATATAATTTTTCACATCATTCTTCTTCTTTTAGTTTTTTTTTTTTTTTTTTGTAAGCATTTGAAAGTATAAAAACTATTCTTAGTCTGCAGTGGCAGGAAAAAAAAATCAAGGCAGTAGGTCAAATTTGGCACTGGGCTCCTCTGTGAGGACTCCCTGGAGGAGATCTATTAATTGGATCCTAGAATCTTGAGGAGGATCTGAAAAGATGGCAACTTGCTGACTAGATACCACAGGTTCCCAGTCTTTTCTCTCCCACACAAATTTCACAGTTCTCCACAGGGACCTTCTTTGTCCTTTTCTTTTGGTGGGGGGCAGTGCTGAAAGGGCTCTGGCCAGGAGCCATCAGTGGGGGTGGGAAGGGCATGGGTGGCGAAGGCAGATGAAGGGCCGCGAGTGTCCATGGAGAAAGGATGGATGGAAGATGGCACAGGAGGGAGGAAGCGGGGCCAGGGGCAAGTGCAGTAAGGAGACCAGAGGGGGCTGAAAAGAAAAAAGAGATCTGAAGTGGGTAAGGGGAGGGCACAAACTAGAAGCAGAGATGGCTGCCAGGAATGGGGGGCAGCATCTATGGGCAGGAACAGAGGCAGAGGGCCTGGGTTTGGAATGAGCTTGTAAGCTAGGTCAGGACCAGACCAACAGCATGAGCTGGCTATTTATCTGGGCAGGGTGAAGCCTAAGGCCTAAGGATGGGGAGGGGTGCAGATGGGTGCCCTCGGGCTGGGGCCCTACAGAGAGACCCACAGCAGCATCTAGAGAGCCTGTGACAGGGAGTAGCTGACCTGTGCTGCCTGAGAGCCAGGAAGCTGTAGGCCAGAGTGAATGCCTGCACTCACCGCTGGCCACAGCCTACCACACTGCACTAGGTGCATCCTGCACCAAACTCTGCACTTTTAACAGTCAGCAAGCTCAAGAAAAGACATAGGAATTAAAAGCTACGAAGAATTAAGTAGTGCTTTTAAATAAGCAGGAATGTCATTAACCACAGTCTTTTTACAGGAGTATGAACAGGTGCAAATATGTACCAAATCTACAGAGTGGAAGGTGGACAGAACTCATTGGCCCCTGCAGAATCCTGAGAGTTGGGCATATTGTTCTAGAAGACTATGAGCGCCTAGGACCCGGAAGTGAGTCTCCCTGTCTCCCAAACTGCATCATTTCTCCCATTGCAACCCTCTCATCACTAAGGGTTGCAATGGCTGAAAGTCTTCCTATAGCAGAGACAAGGACAGCTTCTCGGAGCGCCTGCTGCGTCTCAGGTATGAAGAGAGGGCTTCAGGGCTTCTCTTAGCAAACACCTGACTTTGATTCATTCTTGAGGGACTGAGTATTTTGTTGGTGGTGGTGGTTTTTGTTTTGTTTTATGCCGCAGTCCGGCTGCAGCAAAATAACCGGGGGGTGACGAACAACTTGTGTACGTTGATACAGCAGGAGTGGGAGCCATTTATTACAGGACAGGAGCAGTATTTATACATTCCACACAGCTTATCTAATTAGCATAAACTCGATACAGCACTGAACCAATAAGAAATCTCCACACTTAATGGCTTGCTTTTGTTACTTCTCAAACCACTCCCTCTGGCATTTTGCCAGGCACCATCCAGACTTGTTTACGAACTCTAACATTCCCCTGGCAAAATGCCAGGTGTTATTTTGACTTGTTTACAGACTCTAACATTTTTAAAATAATAGAACTTAAGGATATGAAAGAAAAAGCAGATTCTTGTACCCCAAAATAAAATTAAAGAAACTTCACTGGTGCCAAATGGAAATAACTGGGAAATCATTAAGAAAAAATGGTTTTTTAAAAAACAGGAACCACATTCAATCATCTGTCAATATGAAAACTCATCACATGCAGGAAGCCTTGTTTTGATGTGCCTGTAAGATCTAGACTTACACTAGAATTCTGCAAAAGCTGGTGCATCATACAGAGCTACCTTGGTTCACATCCCCAAAAGACCAAATCCAATCAGCAAAATGAAGCATGCTGGGGGTGGGGGGTGACTCACCTGAAATGGGTAAAGGTGCAGACTGTTATCTGGAGATGTATGTGTAGGTTCTGGAGGGAGAACGGGTCTCATTCTGGGCACTGGGAGGCACGTTTAAGAAATCCCAAATCAAAATAGTGTCATCGTGGGAGCTACTGATGATTTGAAACTCATCAAACTGTAGCCGAAACACACGTCCAGAATGTTCCTACAAAAGACAATAGCGATGAAACAGTGGTATCTGGAAAGCTCCTGGCCATCTCAATAAGAGTCAGTGCAGGCTGAGGAGCTGTGCTTTGCCCTTCACCCAAGAACAAACTCTTTTTCCTTCCAGGTCTTTTCTTTCATTAAACTTTGTATCCTAGATCCTGGACCATTAATATGTCAAAGGAGAAAAATTATGACCAAGAACACCTATCTCAAGCTTCAGCTGACATCAAAATTGGTTGGTGAAACATCAGAAGGAGTCTCATTAAAATCAAGAAGAAAACAAGAATGGCCCTCACTACAGTTCTACACATTCTACTCAATGCAAGAAGTGAAGAATTGGAAATAAATGGCAAAGCTACTGAAAATAAGAAAAATCTATCAATATTTTCAGATTTCTATCCCCTCAAAAATACAACACAATCAACTAGGCCATTAGAAATAATCGGCTTAGTAAAGTTGCTCAAATTAGATTAACATATAAAATATTTTCTTATTCAACCTTAAACAAGAAATTCTGTCATTTTCATTGACACAGATGGATCTGGAGGACGTTATGCTAAGAACTCAGCCAGACACAGTAAGACAAATACTGTGTGTGATCTCACTTATATATGGACTTTAAAGAAGTCAATCTCAGAGAAACAGGAAGCAGAAAGGGAGGGAATGGAGGAAGGAGAGGTGGGGAAGTTAGATTGGAGGAGTAAGTTTCAAAGATCTACTGCACTGCATAGTGACCACAGTTAATAATAAAGTATATTTCAAAACTGCTAAAAGGATAGATTTTTAACGTTCTCACAAGGGAAAAAGAATAAAAAAGAGAATGATGAGATGATGGATATGCTAATTCACTTGACTGAATCTTTCTATAAGGTACACATGGATTAAAACATCACATAAATGTACTCCATAAGTGTATACAATTATTATTTGTCTATTAAAAATAAATTTTAAAAATTAAAAAATAAAGTATTCCTATATGCCAAGAAGAATAATCCACAGAGTGCAGACTAACAGTACATAAGGTGAAAACACAGCATTATCACAGCCACATTAGGAGATCTGCCAAGCCTACAGGAAGGAAATGCTCCATGTATGAGGACACAAGTCCACCCACAAAGGAGGGAGCCTGTGTTCCTATTTCAGAGCTCACAGTCACGTAAATGGCAAATACCCCTGATTTTGGCTAACCAAAGCAAGTTTCCCTGAAGGCAGGCTGTGAGATACATAAGCTTTCTGATGTTGCCCATGTAGGGCCACCTGCCAACAGCCCAGGGGCCAACTCCTGCTTCAACACATCACATACCACCAATGTGCGCAGACACAAGGTGCTTGCCGGGGCTCGAGGGTCAAGAGCAGCTTGCAAGTCCCAAACTTTAATTTTCCTAGAAAAAAAAAAAAAAATGAGGCTGTGATTAGTGGTAATGTCTTCTATCTTGCCAAGCACTTCCCTGGCAAAAAGGGGTACACCTGAACTGCCCATCGTAGAGCCCAGTGGGCAAACATGCTAACGTTTCTACAAGTTTTTGAACCAATCACACTTGATGTTAGGGGAAAAAAAGGATGTAAACATTCTCAGACTTGCTGATATCATAAAGAAATATTTGAAGGGAGATTAAAAAAAAAAAACTTCAGGTTATCTAAATTCAATTCCTGACTTGATAATCTACACTAACAAAGTCATCCACCAAGAGATTTGCTGGGGCTAAGCAGGTGCTGTGGACAGAAGCAAGGGCTCTGTGTGGAACTCCAGGGGTGCCTTTCTCCAAACACAGCAAATGCTGAGAGTGAGAGGCAGGAGTACAAGCAGACCAACTGACCAGAAGGGAGACATACACATATGGTCATCTCAAAGGTTACGGTCGCCATTTGCTCACTTGAAACACCAGGGGGTGTTCTTAAAAGGGTATGCTCAATTCACCAAAAAGGAAAAAGGAATTTATTAATGAATTCACCAGAAGGAGGGGGGGAAAGGTGTGGTTTACTTAGGACAAAGGACAAGAATCAAATCCCCTGCTACTTATCCCCTGAGTGCACAAGGATGGCAGGAAGTGAAACCTTAGGAAATACAGTGACCTATCACAACGCCTGCCCTCCAGCTTTGCAAAGAGTCCCAGCAGGGCGACACACAGAGCTGCCCTCCTCTTCTGCGGGCTCAGACAGCGCCGCGGGTCTGAAGACCTCAAACACGCACCCATCGTAGGCGCCACTGACAATCCTCTTGTTATCAAACCGAATACATCGCACCAGTTCTTCGTGCCCCTCCAGGACTCTCAAACAGGCGCCACATTCGATATCCCACAGCCTTGAAAGAGAAAGAGACAACTGTAACAAACCCCCACCTGAGACTCACCCCGCCCTCCAGTTCTTCCTCTCCGCTCCTCCAGACATGGTTTCCACTGCCTTGAGCTCTTCATATCACACTCCTTAGTCCACACTGCACATGTGAGCACACTTATACCCTTTGTGTGTTTTAGCACTAATTAAGGAGAGGCAGTCTGACTTTCTGCCGTGCTTGTTTTCATACCATCTAAGTTGTGACATTGACTATTTGAGTCAAAGCACCCAACAGAAACCCCCGCTATGTTTAGTTCCTAGGTATCCGCCCGGTGTCTGAGTTTTTGACAGCACGTAGTTAGATGGCCTGGGAGGACTTTCCTGGAGGAAACCAGGCTGCCGGTGGTGAGAGAAAAAATGCAGAGGAGCAAGAGGGGCAGAGAGCTGACCTCACCAGACTGCAGCCAAAGTCCATGTCTACTGAAGTCAGGACTGGCAGACCAGCACGGTGGCCTCCTGATCCTCAAAAGGCTTAGGGACACCTCTTCACTGATGTGTACAGTATACTAGGGCTGCCCGGTTTTATGGGGCCTGAGTGGGAGACGCATTAGGCATGTACAGTTGAATTGGAAATATAAACCCACTAACTACATTGAAGCCTTTCCCTCTGCATCTGATTTATATAATTCTAGAGTTAGATGTTTGGTTTTCTCTATTGTGGTTGATTTCTGTACATTACTTGCAAAAAGAAACCACAGCAAACCAGCCCATGCAAAGCCAGGGAGCACACTAAGGCATGATGCCTTTCTCAGCGACTCCCATCACAACCCCACAAACACCTGACTACAGGCCCCAGCAGATCTGCTTCCGAAAGTAAGACTACTTCCTCTAACCCAGGGTGAACAGAGCCATTCGGCACAGCTACTATGACTCCAAGGTGGCTCCTTTCAACCAATTGCAAAGTAATACACACTATTTTATAAAACTGCAAAAACTGTAATGAGGAAGGTAAAGGACTTTTTATTGACAAAACATAAAAGCAATATTACAAAGCACGATGAAGAAAACCACAATAGAAGCTCTAAACTAACTTGTATGAATCTTAAAATAAGACCTAAATTTTAGATGCACAATACGCCATAAATACATATAATTACTACATCAATTAAAAACAAAAAGACTGAAAAAAAATTTATGGCATTTATAGTCTTGTTGTTATTATCTGCTTGTTTCCTTTCCTTTTCTTGTTTTTAATTATTTTTTCTAATAATATTTATTTTGCCCAAACATTAGGCAATTTGGTTATAAACCACACAGTGACGGTCACTTCTGTAAAGCTACTACTAACATGTTCCGGGACAGTGGAAAAGATGGCTTGAACAGGTAATAAGGGATGCTCTTAAGATATAAAATATCTACGTCTAGTCATTAAAAAGGAAGAAGACTGGCTGTGGGAAAGAGAAAAGGGAGGGAAGAGAACCAGCCATCAGGAGGGGGTGGCTCTGAGATGCCATCTCTGGGGGAGACACAAAGCAGGCTGCTATCTGCCGCAGAGAGGCAGGTCTGCAGGCGAGGGAAGCAGAGCGCCGGGCCAGAGCACCCCGTCCATTCGGAGGCTCTGGTAGTAAGTGATCATGGTGGAGTTGAGGGCATAGGCCTGTGTGCTGGGGGACTCTAGGAAGAACCCCCACCCACGGTCCACAGCTTTCCTACTCAGAGCACACAGAACCAAACAGGACTGGGAGGTAAATCGATACTATGGCAAAAATAAGCCTACCCTGCTCGCATGCCAAAGTGCACCCACCTAATGGTGTTATCTGATGATCCACTGACAACCAGCCGATCCCTGTACTGCAGACAGGCGATGCCTCGCTTGTGCCCATTCAGAGTCCGGACGAACTCACAGGTGCTCGTGCTCCAGACCTGCAGGACAAACAGCCATGTCTTCAAGAAAAAACACAGAAAAGTCCTCCCACAAAGTGCCTTTTGAAAAGTGAAAATATGAGAGCTTTTAAGAATGAGTCAAAGACAGGATTATAAAGTAGTCTCTTCTAACTCAAATTTGGAAGCTAGGGGACAGACTGGAGAGCATAAGATTTTCTTAGCTATTGAGTAATAAAACTGGAGTGAAAAACAGAGGGAAGCTGTGCAGTCTGTGAACCCTGGGACCTTCACAGAGAAAGCATCTCCTGGAGGGTGCACACGTTCACTCATCGGAGGAGAGAGCTGATACCAGATTCTGACTGCAGGCCAGCTGACATGTCAAACCCAGTGTTAACTAATATAAAAAGCTTCACCTTTCCTCCTCTTTCCCAGCAGCTTCTAGAATATCTCCATTTATTCTGACATACCACTCAGTATTACAGAGGTGGAGTGAACAATCTCCTTTTCTGTGAACTTATCTGTAAGACTTCAATGTCCACAGGCACACTGAACAGGAGATACAACTGGAGCACCCTGATTTACTGTACCAGCTGCATCTGTGGTTGAACAGGACAGATATATACATGGAAAAATGAAAAACAAAAGGAGTTGCTGGATCCCTATCTCATACCATATAAAAAATATTAATTCAAAACTGGTCAAAGACTTAAATAAGCTGAAGCTATGCAACTCTTTGAGGAAAACCCAAGAGTAAGCTGTGTGACCTAGGATTCGGCAGTGGATTCTTAGATATAAAAACAAGAGCAAAGGCAAGAAAAGGAAAAAAATTGATAAACTGGAAATCAATAAAATTAAAATAATTTGTGCTTTAAAGGACACCAGCAAGAAAGTAAAAGACACCCCTTAAAGAATGGGAGAAAATATCTGCAAACCATATATCTGATGAGGGTCTTGTATCCAGAATATATATTTTTAAAAAATAAATAAACAAAAACAAAACTTTTACAACTCAATTATAAGAGAACAAATCATCCAATTTTTGAAGTATAAAAAAAGAATTAAGTAGACATTTCTCCAAAGAAGGTATTTGAATGACCAAAAAGCATAGAAAAGATGCTCAGTTTTAATAGTCATTAGGGAATGCAAACCAGAGCCACAGAGAATCTTCTGCACACACGCCAGGGCGGCTATAATCAAAAAGATAGTAACAAGTGTTGGCAAAGGTGGGGAGAAATCCTGCCAACTGATATTATGAAGGAGCTGCTCTGTAATCAGCCCCAAACTCTCCTGAATTCCAAGCACTGATCTTGTACTGACTGGTGTGAGTGTGGAGTGAGTAGGCTAACGCACTCAAACTGGCCATTCAGCTTCCAAACCACCCGAAACCTAAAGCTTGACACAACTCAGTCCAAAATCTGTGGGGCTACTAAATATCAGAATGCTGTCTAACGCTGGTCACTAACAGAAGGTTCTTAGAGCAAGTTCAAACTCTTACTGCTGACACTCTGGAAAAAACAGTTTGGCAGTTCCTCAAAATGTCCAACCCAGAGCTGTCATTCCAAGAGAACTGAAAACAAATGAACGTGCAAAAACTTACACACCAATGTTTACAGCAGCATTATGAGTAAGAGCCAAATGATGGAAGTAAACAAAAGGCACATCCACTGATAACTGGACAAACAAAATGTGGTCCATTCACACAATGGCATTCTTACTTGACCCTCAGAAGAAATGAAGTCCTGAT